TAGAGGCGGAAGAAGAAAATATGATCAAAGGTCAAGTGTAAAAGGTCAAATAAAAGTCGCAGCGACCTGGTTTGGTACGCTGTCTCACCTTCATCGCCCAAGATGTGTAGTATATCCAAATTTGTAGCGCTAGGTGAATTAGCGGGCGAGTATAATAGAGCGGTAGGGAAATGTCTGCGTGGCGGCAGCGCGGCGCTGGGGAGACATGAAACCATGTATTCCCGCCGTCTTCGTCGCGGGGGATACAATAATAAGGTATTATTAGTTCTTGATTACATGCATGGCGCGCGAGACCTGCCTCTGCTACTGCTGCTGCTGCTGGTGGTGGTGGTGCTCTCTACTGCTCTTCCGTTGCCTGTTGCTGATGTAGCTCTCTAGCTGATTGTTGCTGCTTGCCAATATTAGCTCTTGATGTAATGGGGAATCCGTGCTGTTAGCCTCGATCGGCGCTGATTAATGACGCGTTATAATTAGCAGCATCGTCATCAGCAGTTCCATGCACTGCATGGAGGAGAGATGGTGCCACTCCACCATGGAAGACAGGTGGTGCCACTACACCAGCGACTGAGCACCGAGGGCACTAGTCAACGACTGTGGCGCCATCACCGCACTGACGGACGATGTCACCGCGTTTTACTGTCGGGCAATTTGCGCGGGACGAGGGGGCGAGGGGAGGAGGAGGGGGAGCGACGGGGCGAGTGATGGAATGCCGGATGCAGTGCGATCGGTCATGCTTGCGAGCAGACGAGAGGCAATGTCGGGCAGGGCATTAGGTGAAGAGCTAGCGCGGTGTAGTAGTGCCGCAGCATGTACAAGTGCAGCCGCCGCCGCTGCTGCTGCTGCTGCTGCTCGCTGTGTTCGTCGTTGTAATGATGGTGATCATCGTTTTGTAGTTGTTACGCCGGCTGCGCTACCACCAGTAGAACGATGTTGTAGAGGGGGTGCAGAGATGAAGGAGGAGGTCACCGAGAAGAGAGGTACAGGGTAGGAAGCAGTAGGAGGAGACAGTTTTTCTATGGGGGTTTTCTATGGGATGACATACTAATCCCACAGATGCGGGAGGGTGGTTTACTGAAGAGGACACGTAGGGAAGGGGCGTTTGAAGAGGACGCAAGGCGAGAGGGTATTCTGAAGAAGACACGCGGAGAGGTTTTTGGAAAGTGACACGAGAGAGGGTAGTACTAGA